TTCAACTGCTGTTTATCCAAGTACGGGGGAAAAATAGATTATTTGTATGTAGAGTTACATGAGGGAATTGGGTAGAGGAAGAGTCCTGATAGGATGCTCCCTTCCATGGATGATTTTGACTCTTGAAGAGGGAATCCTTGCTGATGGAAGAGATAAGGAGGAGTGATTGGAGTTCTTCTCCTAGCTTGGATCTTCTTCAAAGGAGATGGAAACCAACAATGATGAACACTTGATGGAGGATGATTCTCGGATAGGAAGAGGCTTAAGCCTTGGATGGAAGCATCCAAGCTTAAAGAGAAATGGATTGCTCACTTCAAAGAGAAGGAAAAAGGTGAACTCCTAAGGTTTGAAGGAGAATTTTCACGGTGACTTTGATGAAGAAACTCGGCTCAATGGCTCTCAAATTTCATAAATGTCAAAGTGTTTACAATGTATGATAAATGAGGTATATGTTGAACCGAAAGTAGGGTTACTTGGCGCCATTGTGAAAGGCTTCACATGTGGCGCCAAGTTTGAATTCAAATTCAAAAATTTGAATTCAAAATTTGGCTCACATGTTCAAGTCCGGTCACACTAGTGCTAAGTTCATTTAGATTTGATTTAATATGCATTTAGGGTTGAATTTTGAGTCACACATGTTCAGCCAAGGTGGCACCAAACATGTGACCCAAAATGCAACTTAAATGCATCTTAAATCAAACCTAGTTTACCCTAATTCAATTAAACTAGTAATCCTCCTTAAACCCTAATCTAATGACCTAAATACAATGGTCAAGGAAATACAATGAATAGGAAAAATTACAAGAATGAAAATGAGCCCAATATTGGGTACCAAAAGCCCAAAGGCCCATGAAGCCCAAAACTAAGCCCAACAAGCCTAAAACCTAAAAATGCTACTCTATGTGGTCTAAAATACAAGACCAAAATATATTCAACTATGCTAACAAAATATAATAAAAATGTTCATATCAAGATAGGCCCATGTTGAAAACTTGATTTGGGCCTTCCAAGCCCATAGGGCCCATTGGGCCTTGACTGGCCCAGTCTTCCATGTCTAGCCCACTCCTCTTGGATCTTTGAGTGTGTCACCTCTTGCATTCCCAAGTATGATTCCATCATCCCCTCCCTCTTAAAAAGGATTTGTCCTCAAATCTAGAGGATGCATGGAAGAAAA